CTCTGAAGCTGCTTTGGGTTTCCCTTTTCCTGCAGAAGGAAGTAGATAGGTCGCAGTGCTTGCAGAAGAAATCACCTTAAAGCCAGCCCTGGGCAGCAGGGACGAGCCCACCAGGTTAGCACTGAGTGCCAGGTCCTGAGGGAAAATCTGTTGTAGAGTGACATTGGGTAAGAAACCCCACAAGTGTCTTAATCAGGAAATCAAGCTCGGTGCAATTTTGCATTCTCTTTGTTGTGCAGTTTCCCCGGTATTTCTAGCAGAAGCAGCAAGATGCAGAAATAAATCATTGGGAGCAACCTGGAAAATCAAGTGTGGGACTGACATGGGCGCACTTCCTATGACAACCCCCAATGCCCGGGCAGAGTGTGAGCTCCGGACGAGGCCGCTGCTCCTTTTGGAGCCGTAGGGTTTCCCTGAATCCCAATTGCCCCAAAAGGCCTCATTATTTGTGGGTTTTTGCAGATGAGGGGATATAAAAGGGCTGCTGGCAGCAGCTGGGACCTTCCCCTTGCGAAGTGCAAAGCGGGGCAGCGTGATGCCAAATGAAGCACGAGTTTCTGCCTAATCCCCCTCGGTGCTTTCCCCTCCTCTGCAGAGGGGAGGGCAGCAGCTAAATGCAGCTGATCCCGCCGAGCCCCGGCTGCTGCGCGGCTTTTCCAGCACCTCCGTGCGGACGGCGCGCTCACCGCACGAGCGCCTCGCGGGGAGCACGCACAGGGTTAATGCGAGGACGCTTGGTGGCCACGCAGCCTCTTCCCTCCACAGCTTCCTCCTGGGCTTGCCCTTCCCTCTCCGATGTGCTGGCACGGCTGTTTTTGCAGCCAAAACAAAAAACTACCCGCTGGAAAAACAACCGGCACGAGGCTGGGGGGGGTCTCTGCTGTGTGCAGGGAGGCTGCGGCACCCGCCGGGGACCCTGGGGACATCTCTGCATCCCACCTGCACCCTGCAAGGAGCGGTGACGCCCTTTGCAAAGTGCTCACGGACGCAGGCTGGGATCCTGGATCACGCTGCCCTCACGAGCACCTTGCGGGGTCACCCAGGGACCCGCAGCCTCCCCGTGGCCCCTGGCTCGCTCTGCCCGGCCACCCCCGGCCCTTGGTCACCTTTGGTGGACAAGATGGTCTGGCTGGCCTCATTTTCTCGCCCTTCTTTCAGCTTTTTGCTCCTGTCCTTGTCTTTTTTCCTGTCCTGTGGAGAGACATTTCCACTGTTAGTTTGGGATTTAATTGGCCAGGGGCAAAAGTGAGGCCTGTGATTACAGTGATCGCTGTCTGGGGTCTGTCAGCAGCATTTAGGGGACATCCAGGAAAGGGAGCACAGCAGAGGGAAGAGAGGAGAAGGAGGAGAAGGTGAAAGAGAAGAAGGAGAAGGAGGAGGAGGAGGAGGAGAAGGAGGAGGAGGAGGAGGAGGAGGAGGAGGGAG